TACACCCATTCTCTCTTTGAGCCGTATTTCTACCCTGTTACTCTTTTTCCTTTGCCCAAACGGTGATAAGGTCCTTATGAATTTGGTCTCTGAAGTAGCAGTCTCTATCCGAGTCTCGGGTACGTGAGATGGTAGTGTCTGTAGTAGCACGTAGTTCCCGGACTAGATTCGCAGTCTCCTTGTTTTGATCGCCAATGTTCGTGATCTTCCAGGTCTTCACTGGGAGGGCTCTGTGAGTTGATCCCCCGTGGTCGAGGTCATAGCAACCTTGTTGGTCTCCAAATGGTGATCGTTGCCGTTGTTGTCGACTACAACCATCGATCACGGTTGCCCAATAGGGAACATGTTTGATGTAGCCGAAACAGTTTGCGGGAACCCTGGCTATGTACGGAGGGTTGATCACCTTCGGTTCCTCTTTGGTTTCTTCTCCTAACCATCCACCATTTCTCCGGTTGGGAAAGTAGGGGTCTCCTGGTAATTAGAATCTTGTCATGCTATACGTGCGAGAATAGGAGGGTAGGAAGCATATATTAGTTGTATTCCTAGAAATATTTATAGGGTTTTGATCCTCATTAGTTACTTCTATAATGACATAGTGCATACTAATCACATATAACAAAGATATCATAGACCTTCGAATAGGTGATCGTACCCTAGGTCCACATCCAAACAAGGAAAAGGAAGTAAGGCAATGACCATAGATTCTAAGTCTATGATCTCTAAGTTATATATAACTTTAGAGTATCCACTTAGTGACTGTAGACCCGTTATTAAGGTTATGTTTAGTTTTCACATACGTTATTATATTATAAAATATTCTTATATTATTTTAAATGTTATGTTTCGTCCTTAGTAACTTTCTTGTATGGGAAGTTTTTTTTAAGCTTGTTGCTCACTACGAACATACTTCGGCATACATTAGTCACACCTTGGATAAATATAGTTGATCATGCTATATCCATCCCAAGTCTGATTACATATCCCAAGGTCTACTCGTAGTGTACAACTCCTCGTTTTACTTTTGTATTGTCCTAGATAATGATACTATACTAGTATGTATGTATGTACTCGTACTTTTAAACAAAAAACTATTTCATTTCTAAAGGTATAGTTATTCGAAAACGTTTGAATCGGTGAATTTAGTCCCAATGCATTTATAGTTTGTATATCTTATGTGGTTCGATATACTTAGTTAACTATAAACAATGCTCTGATACCAATCTGTCACACCCCCAAACCAAGGATAGCGGAAACGTCTAGGGGGTGGTGGACTTCATGTGTAGTATCATAACAACGAGTATAATAGTGTTCAAAGTAAATACAACCATCACAAATATATTCGAAAAAGTTACATCGTAGTATGTTTTAACATATTCTATAATCAATTACATTATGATGACAAAATGAAATGTTTGACGTCCTCTACAAGAAAAAGACCCTTTTACGACGCGCAAAACACGACGCTCTTTGATTTATGTTACGCATTAGAGAGCGACATTAAAAAAGTGTCATCTCTTCAAAAATTTTAAGGATTTAGGTCGCGCATTACTGAGTGCCCTTAAATTAGTGTCTCATGTAAAAATATTAAAAACACGGAAGGCACTTGTGCGTCGTCTGTGAATGTCGTTTTATATTTTTTTTAAGAAACGGGTGTCTCAGAGGGAAAATGAAATCTCCAAATTTTTTAAACCCCCACCTTCTTCTCCTTCGTCTCCACCCCTCATCCACATCCACTACCTCCAATATTCATTTCCTCTTCTAGCCTCAAACTACGGCGATGCACCTTCCTTCTCAAATAATGCTTCATTTACCACCATCGTCCGATTATGTGAGCCCAAGGAATTGACGGAGACGAAGAAGATTATGGATCAATTGCTTCATATCATGTTTAAGGTTAAGGGTTTGATATTTCTTCCAATCAACCCTCACACCAAATTGTTCGATCTCCTTTCTTTTTACCTTGTTCCTTCTACTGATGCCTTCACCTTTTACCATCGATGTTGATCTTTGAATTAGCAACAAGAAGCCCTAGGGCCTCCGCCTTCACCCACCTCTTCACCCACCTCCAGCGCCTCCAACAAGAAGCCCTAGGTCCCCCGCCTTCACCCACGTTCTCACATGTTAAAGATACGGCATCCCAAAATTGGAAGAACTAGGGCTTTTGTGCTTTGGATCTCACAGGAAACAAGTTTTCCTCGTCCCCACCTCGCCCATCCAAATTCCTTCTTCTTCAAATGATTAAATGTTCTTACCTCTCAACCGTACCTGAATCAATATCTCTATCTCTCGTGTGCCTATTCTCTCAATATCTCTCGTGCTTTCCTATTTACAGCCATAGTTTCAGAGCGAAAAGAAAAAAAGAAGAAAGAAAAGATGTGCCTATTCTTCCTCTGGTTCGATCACAACCCTTCTTCTCCCTTCTTATTTTTTTTTCCGATTTGCAGGTGATTGTTGCACTAGCAATCCAACTTTTTTTCCCTAACCTTATAGTCCCTCAGAGCAAGCTTGGTAGATTGAAGAATTAGCTCAACTTGCGGATTTGATGCTGCAGGCTGTGGCTTTGCTTAACGATGAAGATGTTGATGCAAATTCATCGTCTTCTTCAAAACGCCCTTCCACATTTCTTAATTTTGTTGCTCTTGGCAATACCGTAAGTTTGTCTTACATGAGCTCTTTTGATCCGACTACTTGCTTTTGTGTTGATTGACTAAGTTAGTGGGTCTCTCGATATGTTTTTGTTGCTATCCCTATTTTTGATGGATCTTTTTCTAAATGTAGTTGGGAACTCTTTTTGCTTAGATTTCAATTTAGCATATAGGTGATTCAAAACTATTACTTGCAGCAGAAACTCATCTACTGTTGCTTAATGCCATATGTCGAAGTATTAATTTGCATTATGCTTTCCACTAGATCAGGCTCCACTCATCAACTGCTAGGGGTCTACTGTTTAGCTAATCATGGAGCCAATCTGATCTTGCTAGCCTACCTTTTTTCTTTTTCAGGTTTACCAATTTATGGATCTTAAATAGTTCATTTCTAATTATGGGCTACCAATTGTTCAGAGTGCAGGTAAATCAACAGTTTTGAATAGTTTGATTGGGCATCCTGCTCTGGTACGAACTTCATTTTTCTTTATTTTCATATTCAATCTGGACATATATATTCACTTTATGTTTTTTCTAATTCATTATGATAACACAACAAGTCATTTCAATTTTCAAATTAACCTGAGCAGCCAACTGGTGAAGGTGGTGCAACTCGCGCGCCTATATGTATTGAATTAAAGAGGGATGGTAACTTAAGCAGCACATCAATTGTACTGCAGACTGATAGAAAATCCCAACCTGTGTTTGCAAGTGAGTCCTCATGTCATACTTAAGGGCTTAAGCCAATTCGACACACACATACACACACATTTAGTAATAGGGTTCTATATATATGTGATTATTGAATCTGAATGCTCTTTTTGTCCACCAACTGGTGCTCTTCGACACTCATTACAGGATAGGCTTAGTAAAGTTTCAAGTAAGAGTCGGGATGAAATATTTTGAAGCTTAAAACAAGTTTGGGTGAGTCTGTTTGCTTAAAAATATCAAGAATTTGGCAAATGCATCATAGTAATTTGGATTCTTTTTATACCACTTAAGCTTGATTGTTTGTTTTCTTCATTTTTAAAAAAAAAATTCTATGTTTTTAACATATTCGAGATACAATTTAATTCCTTGTTTGATGTATTTCACCATTCCTAAGGGAGGGTGAAGGAATTCAATTCCATTCTTTTTTTATTAAAAGACCAAAATACCCCCATTTAGTCACAGAGAGTGGATGAGTAACTCTTGAATTCCATTTTATGCGCAACCACTGCCTTCCTATTTTGCTTCATTTACTGCTAATCGTCTTCATTTGTTATTCAACAAAGTCCCTATATTATGGGCTCATTAACATTATAGTAAGAAATATCATATGTCAGAAAAAGAGAAAGATTACATTAAGACTATATGCTCTTTATTATAAAGAGAGAATACATTAAGATAATACGAGTATCATGTAAGATGTCAGACATAAATAGTAAGATAATATCATGTCTCACAAAAAGAGAATACGATATGATTAAAGTAAGGTAATAATTTGTCATTTTATGTTAAAGTTAAATACCTGACTTTAAGTTTCGTTTATTTAAATCTATATAAACACATTAGTTTTCTAATATTGATTTAGAAATATCAGGAAGATAGCCCAAAAGAAGACAATTCAGATGATGATGATGAAGAATCTCCTGATATTTCAAAGTTGAATGTGTTATCTGGCTCAGCATCTTGACACTCTTCATTTCCATTCTTTCAGAATATCTAATCAACACCATTGAGGTATCAGAATAATTATCTTAAACTAATAATCAATGAACCTATTTTCTAAAATATAGACATGATTTCCATTTCTAGGGTGCTTCTGTTGCAATGAATATCTCTATATCATTTATCAGTGTCATCCTTCTTCCTATTGTTGGAAATGCAGCAGAACATGCAAGTGCCATCATGTTTGCCATGAAAGACAAGCTTGTAAGTTATTAGTTATTACAAGAATCATAATTCATTTTATTTAGTTTTTTAAATATTTTTAGTTACAATCTTTGCATGATATCTCTTTAGGAGTCACGATTGGCTCCTCAACACAAATATCTATGTTTGTTGTACGTGTTTTTTTCTCTGTATATATTAAAAGAAAGGTTAATTTAAATAAATAGCAACATAATTTAAACAAATACTAACTTTTATTTTAAAATTTTTGTGTTTGTAACTGCAGATTCCATTTTATGTTATTGTTGGGTGGATCATGGGGCATCCTTTCGACCTAAATTTTCAACTTTTTGAGACAACAACTCTTATTATCACAGTTATAGTAGTGGCTTTCATGTTGCAAGTAAGCTTCATATTCATATATTTTTACAAAACTTTGACTAAATTAAAATTTTTATTTAAAAATGGTTCTTTTATATATTTTGTAGGATGGAACATCCAATTACTTCAAGGGAGTAATGCTTGTGTTTTGCTATTTAATAGTTGTTGCAAGTTTCTTTGTACATATAGACCCTCTATCTATACGTAAGTTATAGCCATTGTTCTCTTTCATTTGATTTTTGACTAGACCTTTTTTCTTCTACATTGTTTATGGAAATGACTTTTGTCTCTGGTTTTGCAGAAGATAAACCTTAAAGCTTTGAATCCGTCAGAAAGAGTTTCAAGTCAATTGTATGTTCTAGTTTGACTTTCCTTGATGGCATATAGTTATTATTATTGCAGACTATTACTAACTTAACCGAGATGAATGGATTACAATGTTGCCTAGGGCTTTGGTGGTAGGATTTGTGAAAACAGATAACGATTTCCTTTTTGCTTTTGGTGATTTTATATTGAATGCATGTAGTATCACAGAGTTATAAGCAACTAGTTGGCTTGATTCCTTACTTATGGATTGTTATGAATTCAGTTCAATCATCAGGAACAACTATGACATTTGTGATTGTTGAAGGATCAATTATAACCGTAGCTTCTGTTGGTGATTCACGTTGCATACTTGAGTATGCAGAAGGAGGCTTATATTATCTATAAGCAGATCACGAACTTGAATGCAGTGAAGAAGAATAAGTTATCAGGTCTTATATTATGCTTTCTTTTTTTAGTCCTATTTCAGTATCTGATGATTTTTATAATTTTTGTTTATTTTTGTAGGAGAGAGAGTGTCCCTGCTAGTGGTGGTGAAGTTGGCCGACTTAATGTCGGTGGTGGTGCACAGGTATGATATGGCTCTTTTAATCACATAACATATTTAATATTATTGAAAAATGGGTTTATTTAGTTTTTATATTTAAAGAAAAATATAACTTGTTTAAACTTATTTTTTGGTAGATTGGTCCTTTGAGATGTTGGCCTCATGGCTTGTGTTTGTCAATATCAATTGGAGATCTAGATGTTGGGGAATTCATTGTTCTTGTTCCTTATGTTAAACAAGTTAATGTCAGTTGTATTTTTGAAGGAATGGAATCCATCAAGAGAAGTGGAATTGGAATTGGAATTGAAATCTAAAGGACATGCTTGGAATATTTACAAACAAAAAATAAATTAATACCAAGAAATCTATAATAAAAAATTTATTTTTCTTTTGAAAAATAAAAAAGAAATAATATAATTTGTATGACATTAACTTCTGTGCAATGTATTGTATTTTTTGTATATGGTATTTTATTTTCTATTATGAGACATGAATTGCAAATTTAATTTGAAAAACAGTAAATCTATAAATAATTCTTTTAAAAAAAATTACGATACGCAAAAATGTGTGTCGTCTTCATTTATGACATTGTCTTTCTTGACGGGGGCTTCTTTGATACGCATTACGTGTCATAAACACGCGCGTCGTAAGGTTACGACACACAAATGCATGTCGTCTTCCTTTATGATAGGGCCTTCCTTGATACGCATTGCGTGTCATAACCGTGCATCGTAAATGCGCGTCATAAATGTGCGTCGTAAATGCGCGTCGTCTCTCTTTATGACAGGGCCTTCCTTGACGCGCATTTGCACGTCATCTGAGCATTTTACGACGCGCAATGAGCATTGTAAAAGGCTGTTTTTCTTGTAGTGGTCTGAGCATCCCATCCTCAAAAGCTGTTGTTTATCTGATTTACTGATTTTTCGAGAATACAAGTGGTTTCGAAAAAGTGTCAACAATTAAGTTGGTGAGTTCATAAGCTTTTGAATGTGATGCTAAAATCATTTTCTTTGTAAAAGTGATGTTTGTTCAAGAAAAATCCAATATTTCCCTTATAAAAGACATTATAGTCTTAAAATTTAAGACTGAAAAGTACAAGTATCTTTCCATACTTAAAGTAAATTTTATGCAAGTCATAATCGACCTAAACTCGTTTAACTTAAGTAAAAAACTTGTAAATCTTATGTTTTTTTAATACTCCATGTGAGTTATTATAACCATACTATGACCCAGTCGGCCTCGTAATAGCTGTTGCATGCAGCTCAGGTGTGGGTTTGTCAGACCCAATATAGATCTATACACAACTATCACGTTCTCCCTACAAGAGACTCTGGTTACAATTTACAGGACTTTTGATTTCGTTACTTTGGATGTAACGCGAAGCGAATGTCTCACAAATTTATTCATTAACAGATTTACGTGAATTGAACTGAAAACCTTTGTTAATGAGTTTGAAATGTAATTGAAACATAAACTATACTTATTATAGTTTAACATAATTGTTTGTAATGTATATGAAACATAAACTATACCTATTATAGTTTACCCAAAACATTTGTAATGCAAATGAACCCCATTTTATTTCAATTGAATGTATAGCAAAAACATAACTATGTTTATCATGCCTTATCTGGTATTATTTGTAATGACAAAGGACTCTACCAATCAATGAGTATTTTCTTTTATATAATTATACTACAACAGAAAACACAGGTAAAATATGAAATCATCAAAGATTAACACTTTGCTCAACACGTTACAAAGTGTGATGAAAGTTGTAAGCTGTTAACATGTTTTTAACATTTCTGCACTATTTTGGAAAAATCACAGAAAAATCATACGAAGTCAAAAATTTAATCCATAAACTCTGAGAGTTTAGAAAATGTGTATAGTTTGTTTATAAATTTTTATTATGATTTTTAGATGTCCCTAACTTGTATGAAAGTATCCATATTCACAGACTGGTCCGAATTTGTAGCTACAGTGATAGACAGATTTGTAAAAATCACCATAAATTGTAGAAAAAATGTATGGACATGGGCAAGTAATCATTTTAAAGGTATAAACCTGAACTATTTGCACCTAATACATTTTTGAAAACTAAAAATTTTAAGATGCTCAAAACAGTTCGCGAATGAACATTAATTTTTCTATTAAAAGTTGTTGTTTGAGTTTAGTTATGTTATTGGTGATTTAACTTGTATTCTCCCCTAAAACTTGAAGAAAACAGGAAAATGGGGGGGTATGAACTCACCTTGAGTGATGTCTTAAGATGGATGGTGAAGAAAAGAAGTGCGCAACTCAAGAACACTTAGATGATGCTTGAAGATTCGAAGATCTAACAATAATATGACGATATTTGTTTAAGGAACTCATGATTTGAGTGAAGAAGTGTAAGGAAATCAAGTGTGGGAAGTGATTTACTTACCAAGGTGTACGTGAAGCCTTAGAACTCCTGGAGAATTCGAGAATTTGGGGAGGAGAGTGAGAGAGAAAAGTGTTGGCTCTTTAGTTAAAAGTGAGTGAAATGGGAGGAAAGAGGAGATTTTCAGCCTTTGGTGAACCTTTACAGCTGGAGGAGGGGTGTCAAAGGACAAATAGTTGACTAGGTAGGGGGAATAGTGACTGAGGGTTGTACCATGAAGGTATGGGGGAGGTTGCTTGTGTTCCACGCTAAGGTAAAGTCAACACTCCACCTATAAATCTTACCTACTAGATTTTATTCTTAGGCAAGGATTTTCCCCAAAATATAACTAAAATATGAATATTTAGGGTTTATTATGTTAAAATATGAGTTTGGGTGAAAATCCCGCGTTAAAACCACGAAAAACGAGCTTAAAACGAAGTTTGGGTCAAAAATCGGCAATATGGACCAAACCCGCGAGGTTCGGCTCTAAGAAAGTGAGAACCGAGAGAAAGAACGGAAGGAACCAAGAGTAGAGAAGGGGGTCGAAGGTGCGAAGAGGGAACTGAATGCGAGGCTCTATCTTGGCTGCTGTCTGCGAGGTTCGGTTCTGACAGGTTCGACTCCTAAGAGGGTTCAGCTCCTTAAGAGAGGACTTCCCAGGGGGTCACCCATCCCGGTACTACTCCCGCCCGAGCACGCTTAACTGCAGAGTTCTTATGGGATCTGCTGCCCTCACGGCTTTAAAACGCGTTGTGATAGGGAAGGTATTCACACCCCTTATAAGGAATGCTTAGTTCTCCTTCCCAGCCGATGTGGGATCAGATCTAACCCACTTTCACCCCCCATTATAGGGTTCGACGTCCCTGTCGAACACATCGACCCGTGCCCTAGCTCTGATACCATTTGTAACACCCCCCTCTGACACGTATCACAATATTGTCCGCTTTGGGCCACTCGGCACGAGGACTTCCCAGGGGGTCACCCATCCCGGTACTACTCCCGCCCGAGCACGCTTAACTGCAGAGTTCTTATGGGATCTGCTGCCCTCATGGCTTTAAAACGCGTTGTGATAGGGAAGGTATCCACACCCCTTATAAGGAATGCTTAGTTCTCCTTCCCAGCCGATTTGGGATCAGATCTAACCCACTTTCACCAAATTGTAACATCCCGAAATATCAAGAGTAGAGTTGTAGGGCTAAAAGAGTAAATTGGGAAAGAGCGACTCGGCGAGTCCATGTGTGGACTCGGCGAGTAGAGTCGCGACTTGGTCGCGTGTTAAGTGGCCGACCCGGCGAGTCAGTGTATTGGACTCGGCGAGTAGGCGCTGAGTGGAGAAAACCCTAATTCTCGGGGTTGAGCCTTATATAATGATCATTATGTCTTCCTCCCAGCCTCTTTATCACCCCTTGAGCCCCAGAAAACCCTAAATCGCGGAGAAGCACCATTGTTGAGTGGATTGGAGCTTGGAGAAGTAATGGTTGAAGGAATTTTGGGAAGATTGAAGGCTTGGAGCAAGGGGCTTTGCTTGGATTCAAATTGCATTGCAGTTGGGGCATCACTTAGAGGTAATATCTCGTTTTTGGCCTGTTGTTATGTTGTTTCTTCATTTTGGGTTTGTGAGAAATTATCTATGGATGAAATGGGAAGTCTAGAGGTTAGATCTGAGGTTGCTACCTCAGATCTGGAAGGGAGAAGAATCAGAGAGCATGAAAGTCCCTGTGTTGGAGTGTTTAGTGAAGCTTGCATGTCCCAAACCCTAGCCCCAATGTGCAAACGGCTTAGATCTCTTTGGATTCACGTAAAGTTTGCCCTTTACGTGATGGATGAGTGGTAGGAGGCTAGATCTATGTCTTGGAGCAGTTGCATGGCCTGGAATGCTTCGGAATGTATTCAGACCGGCGGTACTCGGCGAGTCACATGGGTGGACTCGACGAGTTGGATGAAGATGGCCTGGAACTCGGCGAGTTGTATGAACAACTCGGCGAGTAAGTTGAAGATAGCCGTAGACTCGGCGAGTCTGTTCTTGGACTCGACGAGTCTTGTCGAAGAGTCCCAAATATTCTCTGGTTGAGTCGAGAATCGGTGAGTCGAGGGATGACTCGGTGAGTCGTGTGCGAGTGGACTCAGAGTTGTTGGACTCGGCGAGTCTCGGGGTGACTCGGCGAGTTAGGTCGCAGATTGAGTGAAGTTCTGATTATGGGAACTCGACGAGTCACAGGGTTGACTCGGCGAGTAGGGTCAGTCAGGGGTTGACTTAGACTAGGGACTTTGATTTGTTGGCCGTTGACTTTTAGGGTTTGGTCAGCGATGTGGCCTTTGGGCCAAGAGAAGGTAAAATAGTCTTTTACCCATAAGAGGGTGTTATGAGAGGATTTATTCTAGTCTCGAGAGTTATATTCATGAGAGTATTTGCCTTACGTGTTAGGCGGTGGCGAGTTCGAGATTCAAGTGTGGGGATATCTGCTTTCTGCTTGCCAGGTGAGTCTTCTCACTATACTTTACCTTGAGTAGGTAACCAGAGTTATGTGATTAGAGTATTTGTATGCTATATGTACGTGATGTGTTGTACTGCATTATTTCTATGTGATTTATGCTGTGCATGTTTATAGAGTTGGAACCGGAAGGTTCCCAGAGTTAGAACCTGAGGGTTCACAGAGTTTGGGTGCACGGACCCATAGAGTTATAGCCTCGAGTGGCTAATATGTGTTATGTGTGGTATTTTGGGGAACTCACTAAGCTTCGTGCTTACAGTGTTTTGTGTGATGTTTTTCAGGTTTCTTTCAGTATCACGGGACGGCACCGGCTTGATTGTACACACCAGAGAAAGAGTCATATTTTGGAGGATCCTGGTTTTCTATGCAAGTGAAAATGGAGTCATGTTTTGTAAATCGACTATGAATGAGATTT